ATCATTATTGTTCAAATGACTTCTATGGCTAGACATGCCTAATCATGTTTTAGAATATGCTGCACCTCTAGAATTTGGAAAGCATTAGCATCTTTCAGTGGACTAATGTTAGTCAAAACCCCATTCTCCGCAGGGTACTGTAAGTGGACCAGTCAGCCATCAGGTGAAATTGGAAAGAACAGAATTTTCTGTTATCTCTTCATTGCCATCTACTGGACTTTAGCTAGATTTGACTGGATCTGAAGGAGGAGTAAAGCTGGTGGATCATGAGCCTGGATAAGCAACCAGTTTTACCTCTTGAGATACAACTTGTACATTTAGATCACTTAAACATGAGCCAGCAGCGTGCAGGAACCGTCAAAAAAGCTAATACAATGATTGGTTGTATAAACAGAGGCATAGAATCAGAATCACGTGAAGTATTAGTAGCACTTTATAAATCCTTAGTAAGACCACAACTGGAATACTTCATCCACTTTTGGTCACCGCATTGCAAAAAAGACGTTGAGATTTTGGAAAAAGTGCAGAGAAGAGCAACTAAGACGATTAAAAGCCTGAAGACAAAAGCATATGAAGAACGGTTGCAGGAATGGGGCACGGTTAGTCTAGAGGAAAAAAAAAAAAAAGACTAGCGTTGAGATGATAGCAGTATTCCAGTATTTGAGGGGCTGCCACAAAGAATAAGGGGTCAACTTATTTTCCAAAGCACTAGAAGGCAAGACAAGAAACAATGGATGGAAACTAATCAAGGAGAGAAGCAAACTGGAATTAAGGAGAAACTTCCTAAGAGTGAAAACAATAAACCAGTGGGATAGCTTGCCTTCAGAAATTGTAAGCACTTGATCATTGGAGGTCTTTAAGAAGAGATAGGACAGTCATCTGTTTGAAATGGTTTAAGGTCTCCCGCTTGAGCAGGGGGTTGGACTAGAAGACCTCCAAGATCCCTTCCAGTTTTATTCTGATTGATTGGTTTTAAGGTTCATTCTCATTCTATCTAAAGGATTTTCCCCATTTGTTCCTCACAAGGACACAAATGTGTCTTGCTGATTTCTTTTTCTTTCTTTCTTTCTTTCTTTCTTTCTTTCTTTCTTTCTTTCTTTCTTTCTTTCTTTCTTTCTTTCTTTCTTTCTTTCTTTTCTTTTCTTTTCTTTTCTTTTCTTTCTTTTTCTTTCTTTTTCTTTTTATTGGTCTTCAGGACATTGTCCTCATCACTTCTTCAGCCCATGAGTCGGCAATCTTTAGTCATAACACTGTGAAAAGCATCATTTGATTAACCCAATTGGGCAGCCGTTCTATTCCTACTGAGATATAAGGACAAGTGGGAAAAATAAGCAATAGTAATATGGTGTCAACTTCTCCTTTTTCCTTTGCATTGGGACTAATTTAGCTAGTTGCTGAAGATTATTATACATCCTAATAAATGGATTGTCTAGGAAAATAGCTGCTTCGTTAAATATATGGATGGAGTAACACTGCCCTCTAGCAGCACATCCCATTTATGCAGGGATCCAAGAACAGACAGTGAAACCATCCTGCCTCAAGAGTGGAATGTACAATGGAATCTACAGCGAAAGTAATAACCTTCTTAAAACATTAACCAGCAACGGTTGATGCCCTCAACAAATACTGTTTTGGTATACAGAAGCAGTGGTGGGATTCAAAAAAAATTACTGCAGGTTCTGTGGGTGTGGCTTGGTAGGCGTGGTGTGGCTTGGCGGGAAGGATAGTGTAAAATCTCCATCCCCTCCCCACCCCACTAACCTGCTTTCCAGCTCCGTTCTCCTGTGCAGGGCAACCAAAGAAGACCCAGCCGATCAGCTGGGACTCAATGGGAGGCAGAGAAGAGATGGGGCCAGGGCCAGTCAGAGGTGGCATTTGCCGGTTCTCTGAACTACTCAAAATTTCTGCTACCAGTTCTCCAGAACTGGTCAGAACCCGCTGAATACCACCTCTGTATAGAAGGGATTTTGTTCTGAAACTGAAGCCAGGAACTAGCTTTGGCTTAAGGTTTCCCATCATTCCATATAATACATAAAATTAAATATTGTCTGGAAACTGAAACTAAAAGTAGCCCTGGCATGGCTCTATGTTAAGTTCTGCAACTCTGCGGCTATGTTGGAGCTGTGAGTCTGTCTATTGAAGATGAAACTAACTTACTTGCTTACTGAAGACTGGAGCTCTGCTCTGAACTTGCAACATGTTTCTGTTTGAGTTTGCTCCATGTTGGAGAAATCTACAACTGGTTTGTAAAATCTACTTATGTTTATAAAGATGTTAAATGAAGCATCAGCCACCTGTGTTTATTTTTCTGGCGCTGAATTATCACTGCAAAACTCTCAATATACAGTGTGTTCTTCTGTCAATTCACAGGACAGATAGTGAGCATGATTACCTCTATTAACAGAATGGCAAAGTTGGAAGGGACCTTGGAGGTCTTCTAGTCCAACCCACTTCTCAAGCAGGACACCCTATGTACCATTTCAGACAAAGGGTTGTCCAAGCTCTCCTTAAAACCCTCCAGAGTATCCACAGCCATTCCACTGATAAATTATTCTAATGGTTAGGAAGTTTCTCTTAAGTTCTAGGTTGAATTTCTCCTTGATCAGTTTCCATCCATTGTTTCTTGTTCTGCCTTCGGGAACTTTGGAGAATAGGTTGACCCTTTCTTCTAGCTTCTATAGATACTTGTTATTAATAAATTGGTTTGATATACAGATGCTATGAAATGAGTGGAGAAAGGAATTAGAGATGCCTAGAAAATCTGAGACTATTTTTACTTCTATACCAGCAGTGCCAATGGACCATAAAGTATGGGTTATACAACAAAAGATAATATTTAGAATCTATTATGCCTGTACAGAGCAGGATTGCTTAAACAGCATTTTGTTGGAGCTATAATAAGGGTAATACTTTTTAAAAAAACACATGTCTTAACAATTCCCCTTACGTACTTTAGGAGGAAGTAGTAGACTATATAAATGTGACTTCGCATTCAAAAACTAAAATTTTCAGATGATAGCATCCCTTTGAAATATATACTTAGCATTTGGAATTTGACAACTCAGCAACATAGCATTGAAAAAGAAATGAAAAAATTCCACAAAAGTAAAAATCCATAGATTATCAAAGAAAAGGGGGAAAAAACCTTTTTTTTTAAGTGAACTCAAAAACAACAAAGGGGGGAAAGTACAATATATTTTAACAGTAAATAGTTACAGTTCTATGTAATTGTCTAATGCAATTATCATTCAAATATATATATATAAACACATTTATATGAGACATGGTAAACGTAGAAAAAGTCTAAGTGTTATGTTGCAAAACATAAACAGTTTAGAAATATTAACTGTTGTAGGCTGAGTTGTAAAGATGTTAAGCACCAAGAAAGTTTCAGAAATAAAACCTGAAGACTAACCAAAGAAATTAAATTATGAAAATAAATGTAGGAGTTGTTTTAAACGTATTACAGTCTTCAATATGGGTAGTCCTCAATTTACAACCAGTTGTTTAGTGATTGTTCAAAGTTACAACGGCACTGGAAAAAAAAATGACTTGTGACCGGTTTTCACACATATGACCGTTACAGCAAGGGGTCTCCAGGAATACAGGTAGTCTTCGACTTAATTCATTTAGTGACCATTTAAAGTTACAACCGCCCTGGGGAAAAAAGGTGACTGATGTCCATTTTTCACACAACCATGGCACCATCTTCATGGTGATCGAAATTTGGATGCTTGGCAACTGGTTCATAATTTATGACGTTTGCAGTGTCCCCGGGTCATATGAGCACCTTTTGCAATCTTCTGATAAGCAGAGTCAACAGGGAAGCCAGATTCGCCTGCAGAAATTCACTTAACAGCTGCAGAAATTCACTTAACAAACCATGGCAAAAAGAAAGTCAAAAAATGAAGCAAAACTCAGAAATGTCTCACTTAGCAACAGAAATTCTGGGCTCAATTGTACCCCTAAGTCAAGGACTACCTGTATTTTATTTTAAACATTATATAAAAACATTGTTTTCACCTATGTACTAAGCAGAGCAATAATGGCACCAGTAGGACCAATGGGCCTTTTACTAAATCACAGAATTTCCGCTGTTCTATTCCTTGTTTTTGTTTGTTTGTTCTGTACAATTTGCACTAATATATTGACAGTTTAACTGTAATGGTTTTACAGCAGATTATACGACCATGTTTTGTATACCTGTTGTGGTTTGCCGGCAGCCGGTGCAGCCGGCAGTGGAGTCGGACAGTGAAGAAGAAAGGGGACCAGGCAGGGAGTCTGGAGAGGACTTGGATGAGGGTCCTGCATCCAATGCAGAGATGGGGCCAGGACCATCTGGGTGCTGCCTTTGGAGTCGGGCAGCAGCGAGGCAGAGGAGCTGGGCGAGCCTGTTCCCAGTACATGCGTGCACAGAGCTGCTAGAAGGCGAGAGTAGCTGAAGCAGAAGGGATGACTCGGGGGTAAGGCTGGGAGGTGATTGCTCCTCCCATAAGGGATAAAAGTCAGACCTCAATGACAAACGCTTTGCAGGAAGCAAAGTAGTGCAGTAATTTCCGAGTCCTTTTTGAAGCTCTGTGAACTCTGGTTGTTTTTTTCTAGGACTTTGGTTAGTTTATGTTATAATTAATTGGACTTCTGTTTTTTGGCAGCATTCTACAGCACTGAAAGGCGTGCTCTTATCTGGAGGAACTGTTTATAAGTAGTTTCGGCTGGGAAGGCGAGTAATTCCCAGCGTTGCATTAAAATAGGTTTTGCTTTTAAAATAAGTTTGTGTTTCATCAAGTTTGGCGAAGCTGGGTCAGAACAATGCCACTCTCGTCTCTTTCAGGACAAAAAAAAAACAGCATGAAAATAAAACAAATGATAAGGAATAGTAATATTTCTTCATGTTCTAAGAAACTTCTAGGACGAGCAAATCCGAGCAACGTGCTCAGAGTAGAATTTCAGTCTAAAGGTAAAGACCAACAAGCAAATTTTATACAGCAATCATCTCGATTTTACGGGGTCCTACAGTGAGGAACAGCACAAAGTTTGTAAGGACGAGGGTGCAACGATAATCCCACAATGGGTTCTAGGCTGAGTTCTTTGACTCCTTCTGGCAGCTGAAACTTAAAGCACCTCAGCAGGATGGTCAAGAAAAGGAAGAGCTCCATCCTGGCCATTTGCTCACCCAGGCACACACGAGGCCCTGCAGGGCAAAGATAAGGAAAGGAGAAGGGGTTAGAAGTGACTGACAGCTCTTCGCCAACGCTTCTAGTTTCAGTCGTAGCTGAGGAATTTGATTGGTACACTGGATCTCATCACTTAAAATGGCGTGCTCTAAAATTCTACTGTTGGAATCTGCCTTTCATTTGCCTTTAATCTCTTGGACACCAATAGCTATGCCCATACCTTGAAGTTTCAAAAAGGAAGATCTTTTCAAACACCAGAGACTGACTAACATAATAGAATAACGGAGTTGGAAGTGACCTTGAAGTCAACCACCTGCTTGAGCAGAAGTCCCTACACTGTTTAGGTAAATGGCTGTCCAATTTCTTCTTAAAAACTTCCAATGACGGAACACCCACTTCTGGAGGCAACTGTTTAATTATTCTCACTATCAGGAAATTTCTCCTTAGTTCTAAGTTGCTTCTCTCCTTGATTGGCTTCCATCTTTTGCTTCTTGTTCTGCCTTCAGGTGCTTTGGAGAATAGCTTGACTCCCTCTTCTTTATGTCAACCCCTCAAGTATTGGAACACTGCTATCACGTCACCTCTAGTGCTTTTTTTTTCCCATTAAACCAGGTGTTTAAACTAGACAAGTAAAGTATATTACCCCTGTGCTTTATCTTTGCTTATTAATCAAATCCTTTTGGGAAAAATATCTATCATAATCAGAAAAGCCCAGAAGACAAGAAGAATCAAGGGATGCACAACCTCAGAATGCTCACCAATAGAGTTTTCAACATCATGTTTCCAATTACAGAATCATTTCCTTAGTTCTATTTATCTACATATTTCATTTATAACCCACACCTCTCTTTTCATAAGTGCACAGACCTGTTTACAAGGCAGTCCTTGACTTATAACCATTTGTTTTAGTGACTGTTCAAAGCTACAACACTGAAAAGGTGACTTATAGACATTTTTCACACTTACAACTGTTGGAGCATCCCTATGGTCATGTGATCAAATTTCAGATACTTGGCAACTGGCATGTACTTATGACGGTTGCAGTGTGCCAAGGTAGTGATCACCTTTTGCGACTTTCTCACGAGCAAAATCAATGGGGAAGTCAGATTCACTTAACAATCTTGTTACTAACTTAACAACTGTAGTTGATTCCCTTAACAATTGTGGCAAGAGAGGTCGTAAAATGGGGCAAGACTTGCCTAACAACTGTCTTGCTTTGAAATGGAAATTTGGAGCTCAGTTGTGATCGTAAGTCTAGGTCTACCTATATAATGTTTAAAATTATGGACAAAACTGGAAAAATCAAACAGAGATTGGCCTGAAGACCAGGAGGAAAGCATATCAACAGAATGTCAACTCATAAAATATTTCTATGGTTTTCTTAGAGTTGCCAACAGAAAGGGAGGGGGGAGCAGTGCGGCAGCTTGCAAACCGAAAGTGCATTCCATAAATGTTTTTTCAAAGATAGTAACTAGGTGACTGAAGTTTCTGCCGTGCAAAATTCTAACCGGAGAGCATGATTGATGACTCTAGGCTATGGATGTGTCCCATTGGAGAATATAAATTATGATACTCTCAGGGGCTGGGGGAAAACCAGGGTCAAGGGTGACAATGAATTATATGTCTCAGAGTCGGCTACCCCCAGGCAGTGCCAGACATGTTAACTCCCAATAAATCCTTTTGAAATTTTGAAGTTTGGCTCGAGACTCATGATTTAAATGGGGGTAACTGCCAGAATCCTGACACAGAACCTTGGATGAACGTAGCGTATCACCACCCATGGTTTAAGGGCTTATGCAGCCTCTCCTTATTACTGCTATCTAAGCACAACACTTGGTGGATGAATCACAAGAAAATGGCCATTCACTCATACATTCCCAGAGGGATTTATTTTAAATATTTCGGGAAACGCGTGTTTCAGATTTACCTGCTCCAAATGGCAAAAATTCTTCCCTTGATATAAAACGCCCATCCTTGTCCAAAAAATGGTGTGGGTTGAATTTTTCAGGAGTCTCCCATCTCTTGGGATCATAAAGAACTGAGTTCAGATCTGTAACAACCAAAGTCCCCTGAAGGAGGAAGAAATGCATTTCAATATATAGCTGATGAAGTTTCTAGAGCCTTGTATTTTTTTTTTATTTTCATCCCACCTCTATTTTTTTTTTATATAAACAACTCAAGGTTGTGATCATATATAATACTCCTTCTTCCTCCTATTTTTCCTGTGTGTGGTGGGTTGTGCTGAGAAAGAGTGACTGTCCCAAAGTTACCTAGCTGACTTTGATGCCTAAGGTGAGACCAGAACTCCCGCTCTCCTGGTGATTGGCCCAAAGTCATCACCCAACTTTCATGCCTAAGGTGGGACTAGAATTCACTGTCTCCTGGTGATTGGTCCAAGGTTACCTAGGCAGCTTTGATGCCCAAGGTGGCAGTAGAACTCAGTTTCCAAATTTCTGAGTGCCTTCACCACTAGATCAAACTGCATTTCCTAGTAAATTCCCCTAATTGCATAAAAAGATAATTACCTCCTATTGCCAACTTGTCTAAAATAAAAACTAAACCAGTTCCTGAATTCCCATTCATGTTTGAAGGTGTTTGTTTGGTGAAAGTCAGCTGAAAATCCATTATCCACCATTTTTACAGGGGAAAAAATGAATGTGTTTGTGCAAAAGAGGAACCCAGGGGTAGCAACCTGCCGAGAACTGGAATTCTCCTATGAAGAGCATCATTATGGACCACAACATCTCATGAGCTTTGTTCATACAAGATGTTCAAACAGATCAGCTACAGTCTTAGTGGATGCATTCACACAACAACATGCAATACCTAGCTTGTCTTAACCTTGGTTAGATTTGAGGATTCTTAGAGTGGCGTGGAAACCTAGCCTATGTTGTCACTTGTGATGAAAGGAATTGTACAAACACAGGAAATGGATTTAGCCAATAACCAAGTTAAACAGATAATCAGAGTTGGAAGGGACCTTATAGGTCATCTAGTCCAACCCCCCACCCAAGCGGGAGACCCTACACCATTTCTGACAAATGGCAGTCCAATCTCTTCTTGAAGGTCTCAAGTGATGGCGCTCCTACAATTTCCAAGGGTAAGCTGTTCCATTGGTTGATTGTTCTCACTCTCAGAAAATTCCTCCTTATTTCCAAGTTAAATCTCTCCTTGTTCAGTTTCCATCCATTATTCCTTGTCTGGCCTTCAGGAGCTTTAGAAAATAGCTTGACCCCTTTCTCTCTGTGGCAGCCCCTCAAATATTGGAAGACTGCTATCATGTCTCCCCTTGTCCTTCTCTTTTCTAGACTAGCCAAGCCCAGTTCCTGTAACCGTTCTTCATATGTTTTAGTCTCCAGTCCCCTAATCATCCTGGTTGCTCTTCTCTGTACTTTTTCTAGAGTCTCAACATCTTTTTTATAATGTGGTGACCAAAACTGGATGCAGTACTCTAGGTGTGGTCTTACTAAGGTGTTATAGAGTGGTATTAGTACCTCACTTGATCTTGATTGTATCCCTCTGTTAATGCAATTTAGGATTGCATTAGCTTTTTTGGCTGCTGCTGCACACTGCTGGCTCATAGGTAAATGAATCTAATGCAGTTCTCATCAAATACAGAAGCAGGTTTTGGTTAATCTTGATCACTAAAATGTCGGACTATATTATGGTAACATTGTGCGGGTTAATCTGCAATAATCTTTTTTCAAGCTACTGAAAAAAAGAGGACAAATTTTTATCTTATGTTTCCCAGAAATTGAATCATTACTTGCATTGAATACATGAATTTCTCAACTTTCAGTTTTTTTAAAAAAGGGGGTTTCAACATGTTCATTGCACTAAATTGCTTACTAAAGGAAGCGTCCTCTGAAGGGGTGGGATTCTACCAGTTTGCACCTATTTGCTAGAACTGGTTGTTAACATTCTAAGCAGTTTGGAGAACCGGTTGTTAGAAGAAATTACTGGCCTAATCCTGTAAGGAAGGCAGGAAGGAAACATTCTGGTGTTGCTTACAGAAACTGACTCTCCGTTAACCCTTATTACATTCTTGGCAGGACTAGACTTCCTGTCTCAGGAACGTCTCTGGAGTTCTTTTCCCCTCCTTTGCTGGTACTTTGCTTGTGTGGAGTGACCATTCAAAGTTACAATGGCACTGAAAAAAGTGACTTATGACCATTTTTCACACTTACGACTGTTGCAGCATTCCCCACAGTCATGAGAGGCCAGGCCAGGAGATGTGTGCCTCGATGTGAGTGATATTGAGTTGGCCACACCCAGCCAATAACATGACCACCAAGCCATGTCCACCCAGTCACATGACCACCAAGCCCCGCCCACCTACTAAGCCACACCCACAGAACCGGTTGTTAATAAATTGAATCCCACCCCTGCAGTCCTCTGGTATGTTAATTGTTCTTGTATCAACTTCTGTACCTTTGGAATGTGATATCCATAGAGGTTCACGTCTCTGACACTTTGCCTGGGGACTCCAACAATTAAGACATATTTCAAACGGAGAACCTCATGAATCACAGCATGAGTATACGGGAGTTTCACCCGATCTTGATAGCGGATTGAATGGGTAGGATCCAACGTATCTTCTATTTCCTGGCGGACTTTCTCTGAAGACCAATAATAGAAAAAGAAAATTATAACAGAATATCAGAGGAACCTTGGGCCTTGGAGGTCTTCTAGTCCAACTCGCCTTGCTCAAGCAGGAGGCTCTATGTCATTTCAGACATATGATTGCCCACTCTCTTCTTAAATTATCTCAGATATTCCACTACAATTGACATAGTCAGTGAAGAATGCGGGACATAATTCACAAAGAACCTGAATAAGAACTGAGTTGTAATGACAAACCGTAAGGTGGTAGATCTCCTTCTGGGGAATATTTATGGAGATTCTCATCCTCATGCAGATCATAATTGACGCAAAGGTGCATTTTCAAAAGGCAACTGGACTTTCTTCATTTTTCCTTGAAGATGCTTCGTTTCTCATCCAAGTGGCATCTTTTGTTCTGACTGAGTCACAACTGAAGAAGCTTCTGGGATGAGAAGTGAAACATCTTCAAGAAAAAAAAAACAAAAAAAAGTCTAAATGCCTTTTGAAAAAGCATCTTTGGGACTATCCCTGGGGAGTTTGTAGACAGATGGGCTTCAATTCCCAAATCCCATTTCCCCCAAAGGGGTGGGTTGTTTTTTGTGTGTGTTTTTTTTTTTTGCAAAAAGCATTGGAAACCAGCAACAAACCCCAAAAAATCACAAAGCATGGTCAAATGATTGCATGACGCCTGAGCTCACAGGGACTCGCAGTTCTAAGGCCCATGTTCTATGTGTTTACTTCTTAGGAAGGGCTGCCGTACTTGGTCGGCAAAATCCAGACAACCAATCGATGGCAGCAAAGAGTACAGCGGTGACCATCCTGTAAGGCAGAAGTCCCCAAGCTTGGCAACTTTAAGATTTGTGGACTTCAACTCCCAGAGCTGGCTGGAGAATTCTGGGAGTTGAAGTCCACAAGTCTTAAAGTTGCCAAGTTTGGGGAGCTCTGCTGTAAGGATTTGGATTTTAACAGCTCAATTTGGGTGGCCCAATTGTTACGAGTACAAGACAAAAAATCTGATGTAGGAGGTAAGGAAAAACCAGGAAGAAATACTAATATTAACATAAAACGTATGTCATTGTGATGACCCTGGGCATGGCACAAAAGCAACAAAGTCACAAAAGTAGGTAAAGTCCCTTTAATTCCTACAACTTGGCCCCCAATGTCCAGTGATCATCGGCTGGAGAAAAACTCCCAGGAACAGTCTTTAAAGGGAAGAGATTCAGTCGGAACCCAAAGTACATATAAATTATAAATAAAAATCAACACAAACCACGCTGCAGCAATTAACGAGACAGGGCAGGATAAGTAATTGCAGACTTCAAAAGATAACAAAACACGCACAGTTGGAGGATGCCAGAACCCAGATAAGACTTGACAAACAAAGATAATGCACGCTTTGTTTCCAGCAAGGTGCTGTGTGCAAACACCCTTTATATCCTGTTTTCCCAGCTGCAGCTAATGAAGGGAATCAGGGCCTTTTTCTCCCCCGTAACCCACGTTGCTTCCTTATCTGTTCCTGAAGAAGGGGTGGGCCTGGTTCTTCCTCTGAATGCCCAGCCGGACTGTGCCCTTCCCCAGTTTCCTCCAGAGCCACCGGGAGCCACACTCCCACTCCCTGTCAGCTGTTCCACCTCTCCCTCGGAATCAGATTCCAACAGGGGCATGAAATTCATAGACATAGAATAACAAAGTTGGAAGGGACCTTGGAGGTCATCTAGTCCAACCCCCTGCTCAAGCAGGAGAGTCTATTCCAAATATTAGCCTCTACCTAGAATCGAACTCACACCCTCCTGATTGTGAGGCGAGAGCTCCACCTCTAGGCCAAAATAGCTTTTTTTTTTTCTCCTTTTTTTGCAGATTCTGAATTTCCTCTTGCTTGTTAGAGACGAGCCATTATTCCTCCTCCGTTCACGCAGGAATTCTTGGGATCTGTCGCTAAAATAAAAGCAGGATCAAGAGAAGCATTTGTGTGCCGATGTAATATAGGAGTCTCACCTTGGACCTCCGGGTAAGCCACCATGAGTAGCAGTGCCCATTGTAAGGTGGTGGCCGTGGTCTCTGTGCCTGCGATAAAAAAATCAACAATGCACTGAGCTAGGTTCTCTTCATCATAAGCTGACTCAGGGTCCCCTTTGGTCTGTTGTAGATAATAGAAAATAGGAAATCAACTTAACGATCCCCAATTCGTCATTTAGCCGCTGCGTCGGAGGAAGGTCCTCCTTGTGTAAGATGACCTCATTGAACAGCCAGTCCTCAACTTACAACCACAATTTGGGAGCAGAATGTCCGTCGATAAGCAAGGTGGGTTGTAAACTAAGTCCAAACCCGACGTTAAAAACGTTTTTGCTCGCGATTCCTCATCCAATCGCCGGACTTGTTAAGGGAATCCTGCACTCATGGTGCGAATCCGGCTTCTCCTCATTGATTTTGCTTTGTCAGAAGGTTGCAAAAGGAGATCATGTCTCTCTCTCTCTCTCTCTCTCACACACACACACACACTCACCGGGACTCTGCAACGGTTGCAAATATGAACCCATTGTCAAGCATCTGAATTTGGATCATGTGACCATGGAGAGGCTGCAATGGTTACATGCAAGGTCATAAGTCACTTTTTTTCGGTGCCGTTGTAACTGCTTACAGTCACTAAACAAATGGGTGTAAGTCGAGGACTACCTGTATCAGATCATCCTTGTAACCTTGAGCAGAATACTTTAGACTGGATCAACCGTTCACCTCCATGGGCTAGAAAATCCCCATCACATTTTTCAGGCATCAAGCTATGGAAAACTACCCTAGACGTTTTCATTCTATTACACAAAGGAAAGGGATCGGGAGCCATCTAAATGCAAATATTATCGGATACGTATAAAAATGAGCTTCAAAAAGAGCCTAAAATAATTGTACCCAGACAACAGACTGTTCAATTGAAATTGAACTTTTATATGCTATATAAATAAAATAAATATAAATTTAGAGAGAGAAAAAGAGCCCGAAGACCAGGCTCTGCCAACAGATAAGGCACATCACACTGAAGGTGGTTAATGGACTAAAATAAGACCTCCCCTCCGCCCTCCCTCTGCATGTATCTTGCACCCTTGCTTCACAGCTTTGTCAATTTTAAACCAAATGTAGCTATACTACACGTGTTTCCACGAAAGTAAGACCAGGTCTAATTTTCTTTTGGGCCCCAAAATAAACACTAGGGCTTATTTTGGGGGGTGTCTTATTTTCTACCCATGTACGGGAGGCTCACTTACTCATGGTGGGGCAGGAGGCCGCATGGCATGCTAGGGCTGCCACCACAAGGCAGGAGGTTGGAGCTGCTCAACGCGCCCTGCACCGGCTTACCTCATCTCACAGTGCAGCACCAACAAGCTGCTCGGCCTCCTGCTCCATTGCAGCCATGAGCAAGCAGAAGAAGTGGGCCAACAACCCTGTGGGCTCCTGGAACAGGCGTCGGAGCATGGATGGCCTGGATGCAGGGGCCCTGAGGTAAGCCGGTGTGAGGCACGGGGAGCATCTCCACCACCCCCACCTTGTGGCGGCAGCACTAGCATGCCATGCGGCCTCCTGCCCCACCATGAGTAACCAGAAGAAGTGGGCCTCTTGTACATGGGGGGGAAAAATAAGACACCCCCTGAAAATAAGCCCTCGTGCCCTGAGTTGAACTGGTACATGGCGCGTGGGGCAGCTCCACCCACCACCACCTCACCTTGTGGCCGCAGCACCGTGAGCAACCAGACGGAATGGGCAGCCGGGAGGCTGCATAGGCTCTTAAATAGGGCTTATTTTGCAGGTAGGGTTTATATTAGTTACAGACATTTTAAAAAAACGTGCTAGGGTTTATTTTTGGGATAGGTCTTATTTTCAGGGAAAACAGGGTGTATTTGTTTTAATGTTACATAGTAGCATTTTATGGATTGTAAGCCACCTAGAACCACCTCTAGGCAAGACAGGAGACATATAAATTGAAGAAAGAAAGAAAGAAAGAAAGAAAGAAAGAAAGAAAGAAAGAAAG